CTCTCTTCTGCTCCTCGTTCTCCAATTCAACCACCCATAGCCCCATTCTACCCTCTTCTACCCCACCCACACCTCTTACTCCTTTTACCCCGACCCTTACCCCCAAATCCCGCAACAACTCTTCCACTTTTCCTTTCCCCTCGTCCTTCATCACTTTCAATCCTCTAATCAAAACATTATTTTTCCTCTTTTCCCTCTCCATTTGTCCCAACTTCCACGTCAGCTGCTCCACCTTTCTTTCTAGGTCCCTTTCTACCCCCGTTTCTTTTTCCACTTCCAATTTTTCCTTTCCCATCTCCTTTTCCAATTTCAAAACCCTTAATTTACACTCCTCTAATTCCTTTATTATCTCCGAATTAAGTTCCTGTTGTCCCTTATCCATATCTTCTAACCTTCCCCAAATTATTTCCTTTTCCCTTTTCCACTTTTTCTCCCATTCACTCCACACTTTTTTCATTCCCCCCAATTCCCCTTCTACCCTTTCCAACCCAATATCTACCTTTCTACTCAACTTCGCTATATTTTTATTTGTCTGCTCTCCCAGTTTTAACAATTTCTCCATCCACATTTCCTCCCTTTCCTCTATCTCCCCCACTTCCTCTTCGCGGCTCATACCCTCGCTAACTGCCTTGTTAGTCTGTACCCCCGATTCAAGCCAGGCATGCATAAAGACTGGAGATTTCCCTGGATCCACCTGACCCAATCTCTCCAAGCCCGTTTTTCTGCCCCGCTGTTTCAATATTTCCTTATCGAATTTCAGAACGCTGTCAGACACTTGTGCAACCAACTCGAGTCTCTTGCCTTTTGCGTCTCCCGTCTTTCCCTTTTCAGGCCCGCTCGCGCCTACCGGCTTCACCTCACTCCCGCCTTCCTTTTCTCCCGCCGCCGTCTCCCCTTGCGCCCCGTTCACGTCTACCAATATCGCCTCGCTTACTTCGCTCGTTTCTCTTGTTTCTCCCTGCCCTCTACGTTCTTTAATAGGCGATCTTTCTAAGAAAGCCATTCCTTCTTTACCCACCCACCACACTAGTCAAATTTATACACTAACTTTCTCAAAACACCCTCCCTTATACACCTTACACCCCTTACAACACTCTCTCCCCCCTGCTCCTGTATTACCCAACCCTTATTTTAGCACACCCCTACACCCCAAACCCCTCACACACTCCTCCCCCGTATTAATTTCCTTTCACTCTCTCACTCACCGGCTTTACCTAACCTTTACTCACACACACAATTTTACAGATTTTCTCACCAAAAACACCCTTTTACCTCACTTTTATCACCACCAAATATCCAACACTACTCAATACAACCAAACACTTCACTCAACACCCTCCCTTTACAAAAAAACCAACAAAAATTTCAAATTTCTCCGAGATCGCTACACCGCACGTGCTAATTGTACCGGTACCGGAAACGGAAACTGAATTTTACAACATTTTTTCGAAAATAATCAAGGGAAGTTAGTGACCGTAATCATAATTTTATTATTATTATTTTCATATTTCAAATAGAATTTTAAAGTTCGTTTAGATCAAAGTTACTGATTTATTTCATTGTTTATTATTTACAAAATGGAATTTTTAATGAAATTGAAAATTAATTGAAATATTTAATAGGGACATAAATAGATATCAGATAAATATCCCTATTTAGAGAAAAGGGGCATTCTAGTTAGGTCCTGATTCATATATTTAGTAGGGGCATAAATAGACTAAGTTAGATTTCCATATTTGCAAAAAGAGGGTATTCTAATCATCTTATTAACAAGCGAATAAAAATTAACTTTGAAATTATTGCTTCCTCAAAAAAGTTTCCGACCTCATGATTAAAAAATCAAATTTTTAAAAAATATTGTTCCGTGTATGTGTATTTTTATATGTAAATACTACAGTTTCATAAATATTTCAAATATTATAAGAACGTAAGCGATTATTTTTTAAAAATTTTAGATCTTAATGGTTAAGAAATAATAAGAGTACTTTGTCCAAAATTAATTTAATTGTTATCTTAGTTTTACATTTAAATATTAACAGATAGTTTCTAAATTTCATAAAATGTAATAGAATTTACATGAAGTTGAAATGAAATGAACACAAAATTTGTACTACTGTAACTTTGCAGTGGTTTTAATGTAAAGAAAATAAAATTTTATAAATTAAAAAAAAATTTCCTTTAATTTGAAACAATTTATAATTGAATTATTTTGTTTGTTTATTTAATAATTTTTGCTTTCTATTGCATTATTTTAAATAATATAATTAACTGATTATTAAAATATAAATTAATAATTAATTAATTATATATTTAATTATGCTAATAATAAAATTTATTTTATTATTTTTTAATATATATATATATATAAAAATTGATAATTGATTCCATTTTTTAAAAATTATTTTGAATTCATTTTTATTATAAATATATTTTATTGTTTAATTTTAAGAAAGGAAAATTTTAATAAAAATAATTCAATATAATTTCAAATTTGAAAAATATTTCTTCTTATTTCACATTTAGTAAAATTTTTGGTAGTTATGAAATTTTCCTTTCTTGAAAAAAGTAATTGTTTTCTAATTAATTACATTAAAATAAATTTTCTTCTAATTATAATTTTTTATATACGTCTCTGTTGCTGCTATTCCTTGCCTATTTCCTTTTCAAAATTCTACTCCTATTTGTATTAATTTTTGTTGTATGTACTTTTTTTTAAGGTAAAGTTGTAATTGTAATGTATTCTTAAATTAAAAAATTTTCCTTTCAATTAAAACAATTGACAATTTAATTATTTTTCTTTATTAAATTTTACTTTCTCTTGCATTAATTTAAATATTAAGTAGCTAATTATTAATTTAATTATTTAATTCACATTTAACATTTTAATAATAATTTAATAATAAACAATAAATAACATACATAGAATATTCATGTTTTTTGTAGATTTCAAAAAAGCGCGCGTTATTTTTGCCAGGGCCAATCTGATGATCTTTTTAACTGAGAGCCAATCACGTAATTGCTTTAACAGAAAAAAAGGGTTATATCACACGATACAATTCTTTTTTAAATTCGTTATTAAGTACAATTTTAACAACAAAATTTGTACAAAATGATAGTTTTTAACAAATAATAAGAAATAAATGCGTTGTATTGAACACTTATAAATATAATTTTATATATTTTTAAAGCTGAAAAATCTTTTAAGGATTCGACTTTTTTCGAGAACCAAATGAATATTACCATTAAAACTAACTTTAATGTAAAAAAATTGTATATTCATTTTTGAATATTTTTACTATATAAAATACTTTGTTTATAATAATTAAAATCTATTGTAATAAGGAAATTTAAAGGTTTTTGTAATTTCTGCTAATAAAAAAATTAAAAATCATCAAGGTTAAGATAAAATATATATTTAAATTGAAAATTCTTTGGTAACAAATTTTTTTGAAAATGAATTTATCAACTTCTGAAAAATTGTTCCTCAATTAAAACAAAATTTAAATATTTTATTTTTTGAGTTCTATTTCATTTTCTAATTTTTATCTTATTGACGATATGTTATAACTAAATTCATTTTGACTATTGACTTAAAGATGTTGACTAACCAGGCCACCGAAAAAAATAAAAAAGTGAATTTTTTTATATTGAAAACAAATAATTTAATTATTAAATGTTTGTGGAACAATATTTCTATTTTATTTTGAAAGTTACAAACTTATTAAGAATCGTTTATGATTTTTTAACTTAAATACCGTATTAAATTGTCATAAATTGTTAGAAAATTTATAACTTAGGTATATTTTTAAATATATTAGGACAAAATTAGTACAAAATTTAAAAGATAGAAAAGTTGTTGATTAGTCAAATTGTAATTAAACATTATTTTTAATTATATTTATTATTATTATTTAATATAATACTTTCAATAATATTTGTAAATGTAAGATTTAAGTAGAAGCAATACAGGGTTTAAGGTTCAATTAGTACTTAAAAAGGAGTTGTCAGAGTTTAATAGTACTTACGCAGGAGGAAAAGGAGCATCAAGGGTTTCTTAGGTGCAGATTAGGTTTAAAATATACTTACTAGTAGGTCTCAAAGTTCGACTCGGGGGAATAGTTTTTTATATCAACCCATATTTATAATGAACAAAAATTTATTATTTAAAAAATTGGTTTACAATATTTTTGAAAGAAATTTTATTTTATTTTATTGTTTAGTATATTAAACGTGAAACAATAAACATCACGCGCATTATGTTTGCTAGTTAAGTAAATTATACCTATTGTTTTTAAATGATATATTGGACGAAATAGAAAAATATTGTATGTGAAATTTTAATTTTTTTAATGACAAAACTGAGGTCATTAATACACTGAGAGAAAAAGTTTATATCACTGAACCAAACTGTTTAATTAACCTATTTTATTGGTTGCTATAGAACAATTTTTTTTATTTAAATAAAAATTTAGTTTATTTTAATAAATACGTAAAATTTGTTCGCCCGTTTTGGACCTCCAAAAAACGCGATTGTTTAAATCTTAGCGGCCATTTCATAATAAAAAAGTTTGTTTGATATATTTTTTGGTATATTTTGAGATATATAATAAAGCACTGAATACGAAAATTTAATAGTTTTTAATATACTCTCTGAAAAAATTCCCCAATTTGACCTTTTGTTTTTATACGACATGGTGGCCTTACCCCTTAAATACAATTTGTTCGGTATAACACACGAATTTGTTTCATAAAAAAACAAATAATTTTATTTGAGTCAACCAAAAATATTTATTTGTCTCAAAAAGTACATATCTGAGTTTAAAAATGACAGTTTCACTTGTCTGCAGTCCGCGTACGCGTCAAATTTATTAGGTAAATAAAAAATATATAAGTGTCGCTTAAATAAATGCATAAGTACTAGCGCTGCTACTGTTATTTGTATATTATTTTAAGTCATTATACTTCTATGTTATTTAATATTATACTATTTTAATTTGCAGATATATCTATGGATTTGAGAAATGAAATTGCAAATAGAGGGGAAAATAGACGAGAAGTGAGAAACATCCAACAAAATATTAATTACGATGCAGATTCTGAAGATGATGATGACGATGAAGATAATGAAAATAATAATATAGATGTAAATGAATATGATGATGAAAGTGAAGACGAAGATGAACCTGAAGCTGAAGATCAAAATGTTTATGATGATGGGGAAGAGGTGGAAGACGAAGAATATCTAGAAGCGGAAGATGAAGATGAAGATTTGGCAAATGAAGAAGTAGAAAGAGGAATAGTTATTGAAGTAGAAGAAGATGAAATATTACAAGAAGTAGAACAACGACAACAAGATCAACAACAGCAGCAAGGACAAGTAAATAATGATGATAACGACGATGATGATGATGTGCATGATGATAACAATGATGACGAAGATGATATTGACTTGCAGACAGATGAGGAAGTGGAAAGAGATAATCGTCCAGAAAGAACGTTATTCCAAGGTCTTAGAATCGTTGGAATGAGAGCACCTTTAAGACACAAAGAAAATATAAGAGCGATTGATCATTGTCTTATTGCTTTAGCTCAATCAATTAAAAATCATTATACTTATGAAAGCCTATTAAATCATTTAAAATGGATAAAAGATTCATTTCAATTTATTAATATTCCAACATCAAAAAAATCACTATGGAAAATGTTAGGTAGAAATAAATCGAATCTAATTTATCGTTTGTACTGTGCGGCTTGTCACGATAAAATAGGTAAGAGCAAGATAGTAGTTAAAAACTGCACTTGCCGCAAATGTGGTCCTGAACTGGATAGAACAAATGTAGCAACATTTATACAAGTAAAATTGTATTCACAGTTGCGCGATATTTTAAGAATACCCAACATAGCAGATAAGTTACAATACAAACAGAGCAGAGTAAAACGGGACATGCATGCTATAGAAGATGTTTTTGATGGTACAGGATATGTTGATTTAAGTAGACGTGGAAAATTTTTGCATAATAATTTAAATTTAACCTTAACATTATGGACAGATGGAATGAAATTAACAAAGTCATCTCGAGCAACTACATATCCAATTGTATTTCAAATAAACGAGTTGTCTCCACATGCTCGAAAGAAATATTCTGAAACCTATCGTTTTAGAACTAGCTACTTTACACGACCAAGGAATCGCTTGGACACCCAATGGACAAAATGAATTAGTAAGCAAAGTTATTGTATCCATTTTTACAGCTGATTCGGTTGCAAGACCGAAAGTTTTGCGAATGAAGAAATACAATGGAAAATATGGCTGTACATTGTGCTATGCTCCTGGTGTAAGAGTGGAAAGAAAAATGGTTTATCCCGCCGTACGCTACCCTTTAAGAACTCACGAAGAAATCATGTCAGATTCTGAGATAGCTTTCACTTCAGGAGTGCCATATAGAGGTGTTAAAGGCTTTTCAAGCCTTTCATTTCTACCTCTATTTGATTTGGCGCGAAATGTACCTGTTGATAGCTGCCATGCGGTATTTCTTGGAGTGGCAAAAGAAATGCAGAGTAATTTTATGGAAGATTTTGGTAAAGGGTATTATATTGGATCACCTGCATGTTTAAGTACTATTAATTCACGGCTTTTAAAAATTAAGCCTCCTACTCGAATCTCACGTCTACCTCGTGATATAAAAACTTATAAAATGTGGAAGGCTTCAGAATGGCGAAATTGGCTACTGTACTATGCTCTCCCTTGTCTTCATGGACTTCTTGACAAACTCTACTTTGATCATTTAACAAAATTGTGTACAGCTATGTTCATTTTACATAACTCATCAATTTTGCCAGGGGAACTTAATCTAGCAAGACGTCTATTAAATCAATTTGTTAGGCAATGTGAAACTCTATATGATATTGAAAACATGAAATTCAACGTACATCTATTACTACATTGCGTTGATTCTGTTGAAAGATGGGGCCCGTTGTGGGTCTATTCGGCTTTCCCTTTTAAAGCTTTTAATAGAAAAATTTTAGATTCCGTTACGAGTCCTAACGAACGAGGTGATCAAATAATAACCAGATTTTTCATTAGAAAATTTTTAATGAATGCTATAGATGACGCGCCCATTGCAAATGAAACTCGTGAAGAAATTGGACGCCTTTTACAGATTCAGGTTCATCAAGTACCAGAAGGGATGATAAAAGGTCGTTATTTTGTCGGTGTTGGGAAGGCAGTTGTTAGAATACCAACAGAAGAGGAGATTCGCGTAATACTAGCTGCAGGTGAAATTATCGATCCTGCAACTGATATGTTCACATATAAAAAGTGTATAATAAATGGAACTACTTATGAAATTTATAACAGATTTGTTGCTAATAAAAAATATTGTAATTACATAGTATATGGTAGATATGGATTTCTGTTAATAGAAACTATATTGTCATATACCCGCAATAATATAGTCATATCAGGTGTTTTAGGCAAAAAAATAAATAACTTGAGAGAAGCATTTCATTCCCGACACATTAGATATGTGAGTATCACAGAATCGAGAAGATTTTTTCCATTTGAAGCTGTTTTTTCTCCAGCAATAATAATAAAGTTGAATAATAATCTCCTTTCAACTCCGCTTTGTAATATTTGGGAAACAGATTAGAGTTTATTATACGCGGTGAGCAACAAACACTAATATAATAATGTACAAATGTACAATTTCAAGTGCTTAATTCTCAGTTTTCTGGCATGTACCAATACGAAAATGAAAGTTAAAAATCTATATAAATATTATTTTCAAGCATTTAAATACAAATTTACACTTGAATAATAATTTCAAATATTTGTACTGTATAAAGATTTAAATAATTGTTACATTACTTTATATTTTATTTAAAAAATATTATCTTGAATTTTTTCCCTTGAATTCATTCTCAGTTTCCTGGCATCGTAAAAAACTTTTAAATTGTTAAGAATTTTCATTCCGATTAATTCACCATTTTTCATAGTGATTAGTAAAGGTTAACTAAAGATGATAACACATGCATTATACCTAATTTGCAGTTTAATTAACTAAAATTGTGTCCTTTGTGATCGAAATTGCCATTTGGTCAGACAAATTCTCAGTTTCCTGGCAGGCATTTTTAAAAAATATGTTTTATTGATTAGAAATGTATAAAAATAACTTTTTCGGTAAACAGGTGTTGCACAAAGCACATTGTGCAACACGTACGAAAGAAGATTTTCCGACCACGTGCGAATTGCTGCCCTCGCTTCGCTCGAAGTAGCAAACTTCGCACTTGTCGGAAAACAGCTTCTTTCCGTACTTGTTGCAAAATGTACTATTATGATTCTATACTTTTGTTGCTCTAGGTGTCGTAGAACCTTATTCCCTGTTTCCTGGTTTTTAGTTTCCTTGCACTCTTTGACAGAATACACATGTGCTTATGTTCAAAATAGGGTAAAGCCAACAATTTTCAATCCTTTCAAAAATTTTTTTTTAAATAATCTTCATTATCTTTGTAAAAGGTTGGTGAAAACTAATATTTAATTTTTACTCTGCATAAATATTTATATTGTTATAAACAAATGAAAAAAGTCTGATCCAATATGGCAACCGAATTTTTTTAATATTGTCGCATTTGATTAAAATGTTTTTTCATACACTTTTGGGGTCACTAAATTCAAAATTTAATTTAATGTCATTAAAATCTGATGTCGAAAAAAACTCCCGAATAAAAGTTCTTAAATTAATCTGCCTACTTTTGAGAAAATTCGTTAGCCATTTTGGATCCGCCATTTTCAATTTTCGTGTAAATTGCATGCAATTTTTGAAAATTCGTCAGCCATATTGGATCCGCTATTTTGAAATTTGGAAATCTGACATCAGATTCGTAATCAACGACCTCGAAAACCCCTGAGTAACAAAATTTATCGAAATCTATACATTATTTCGTGAGTTAATGTTAATTATTTTTTTACAACCTGGGTCTCGAGGTTACTCTCTAAATTATTTATAAATAACTGAAAAATTTTGCAATTTGTAATTTTTTGACTGGACACTTTTAGGTTTTTAAAGACCTCGACGTAAAAAAATGTGCCAAAATTTAATATAGTTAATTTAGTTTGTTTTGAAAAATGGTCTTGGGTGTAAAAAAGCCAACGACAAAAATCCATTGAATATTATGTGAAATTCATTTGTTTTCTACTTCAACTAACCCTCTTATTTTACAAAATTTCTTGTGTTTATTTAATAAAATTAATTAAGCATGACGAAAAAGTAGTTCAAAGTGCATTAAGAAAATAGACAACGAATTAACGGTTGTAACGAAATTTGGTATTTGTGATATAAAACATGAAGAGGAATTTTAGAAAAGGTACGAAAAATTGGCAGTATGAATCGAAAACAGGTAAATTTAACATAATATTCGATTTTCCTTGCTAAAAACTCTTTACAATTGATAAAAATATTTGAAAAAGAAGATTATTCATCACATACCTAAAGGAAAACTATAAAAATTCGATAATTAATAACATATTTTGCTAAAATCGCGAGGTGGCTTTTTCACCCCAACAGGTGGTACAAAAAAGCCACTTGCAGTGCTTCCTTAAAACTCTTATATTTCAGTCCTTTCATGGGATAAAAATTATTTCCGTCAAGAATTTTCAAGCTTAGTTACTATAGTAACTAAACTTTCAATACAAATTTGGAAATTTGAGAAAAAATTTTAAATACAGATTTTATAGCATCAAATGTAAAAATATAGCTTTTTTACCCCACTCTACCCTACCTTCGTAAATACAAACATAATCTTGTTTGAACTATAAAATTGCGAAATCTGCCTATAACCTGTGCATTTTTACCTTTAAAATTGTTCATAAAACTGATAAATATTTTCTACTTTTCAATCATAATTTTTGATAATTAAAAATTTTCTAATATCTTTTATAAATAAAAAGCAAAAAAAATTTGCATAATTTAGATCAGTCAAACGAAATTTCTTATAAAAAGTGTATAAAAAAACAAAATTAATTTGTTAATATGTTTTTTTTAATTTTCTAATATTCAAATTTCATATATTATATAATAATTATTTGAATTAAACAAAATTATAAAGAATGCTGGTAATCAAAGTTAAAACAATGAATGGCTCATCCGCATCCGACGATGACTTGCCTTGATCATCAAACATATTGTCACATGGCGCTGCCCGTAATGCTGAATTAAAACTACCACTAGTAAAAGTCGCCGAAGGGTTTTTTAATGAGATCTACTATTTTCTCCTCTCCTGTTGTCTTTGATATTTGTTGGAGATGCATTGGGGATTAAAATAAAAGAAGTACCATTAAAAAAAATTTGCTTCCCGATATTTTTGGAAAAACAAAAACTTTTTTTTTCGTTGAATCAACGTTGGTAACTTCAGTTTCATCTAGACTGGATCTTGGTTACGCCCTTGTTCGGTGCTACCTGGGGAGCATGCAGTTATTTTTATTATTTTTTGAGACAAAGAAATTGTCCAAATAACACGCCTAATGTGGGACTTAAGTCTTTAAATCATTTTTTCAGTAATTTAATAGCAATTTTTTATTGGTTAAGTGAAACAATTAAATAATAGAATGGGCGCATGATTTCTCCTCGAAATCTAAAACCTCGATTGTTCAGTTGATCCGGCAGGGACTCAGTTCAACCTTTTCTGATTACTCAAAGACTGATACTACATGGCTGATTCTACGAACGAATATTCTCCATTCAATTTTACTCTCCCTAGACTTATTCTACACAGCGCGACTCTATATATAATAATAATTAATAACACACATGTCAAATAGTCGATTCTCCATTGACTGATTCTCCTTAAATAAACTCTCCAATAATAATTAAAATTCATTTAATTTAACCAGACCGATCCTACATGAACTAACTCTCTAAAATAAATTAAAAATTGTGTAACTCTCCACAGACCGACTCTACACGAATCAACTCTCCAAAATAAATTAAAAATTTTTGAAACTTTCCACAGACCGACTCTACACGAATCAACTCTCCAAAATTAATTAAAAATTGTGTAACTCTCCACAGACCGACTCTACACGAATCAACTCTCCAAAATTAATTAAAAATTGTGTAACTCTCCACAGACCGACTCTACACGACTTTACTCTCCAAAATAAATTAAAAATTGTGTAACTCTCCATAGACCGACTCTACACGACTTTACTCTCCAAAATAAATTAAAAATTGTGTAACTCTCCACAGACCGACTCTACACGACTTTACTCTCCAAAATAAATTAAAAATTGTGTAACTCTCCACAGACCGACTCTACACGACTTTACTCTCCAAAATAAA